TTCAGACCCACTCAGTTGCATTTGCAAGCATTTCATGTGACGAAACAAAACTGGAAGAACTGTGAGCAAGCAATTCAGATCACGTCAGCCATGAATGTATTACACTGCTGGACACAATGTTGTCATTCACAAATATCATATCTCTAGAAAGGAGTGTATGTCAGGAAAGCTGTTTTATTAATTTTCCCATTATGATGAATAATCAACATTCTATATTTATTAAAAACATGTGGTTATAAATATTCAAATATCCACAAATACTGATATTTTTTAAAACCCTCAGTGTTTCCTTTTGGTACGCTTTGACCCATGGCTCCTTCGGGTTGATGACAAGCTAGGGTCTAGACGAGTCTAAATAAACCAGGAGCGGTCAAGTTAGAAAAAGTCATCAATATCATACCCGATTTTTTTTAATGAGTTCATAAAAATGCTTATTACTACATACAATTTGTATTATAATCCGTGATTTAAGTGAAAACTTGAGCTTGTGTATGAATTCAGGCCGTAAAAAGTGCTGAATAGAGACTTTAGCGTGACGCCTGCTCTCCTCTAATCACAGAACGAGGAGCGGCGCTGTTACGAACACGCTGCGTCCTCTAGTCTCTACAGCGCTGGTAAACACAGTAGCATGTTAGCATAAGTGGCTATAACTCCTCTGGCTGTAACTGCAGACACAGCAAAACAGCCCAAACCACACAACAGTGAGGAAGAGAAGAGGGAACTAAAGCGAAAAATTATCAAAGAAGAAATCAAGCCCGGGTGAACAAAGCTAGCTTACATCGTATCCTGTGGAGAGACTTGTCTATGGGAGAGACCTACGGGACCGCCTCGGACTATCTACGCTCGGACTACATTCGGATGCGGAACTAGTGGTAATCTTTCAGTTATATATATTTCGTTAGATGTGCGTTGCTTTTGTACCATTTCATCAGTGATTGTTGTACAGCTTAAGTTGCGCTCATGCTAAGGTTTGCATCTATCGCAAATAAAACTAGATAACTCCGTGGGATGAGAGCGTGGGGGAAATGAGAGACCTGTGAGCGAGTTGTGGGGCGGTGCTAAACATTCGAACCTTGCAGAAACGGGTATAGCTCCTTTAAATAATAATTTAGGGTATTTTTCAAACACTGCGCCAAGAGTGGTGAGTGTACCCAGTTACTATAGCATGCACGTGTTGTCAAAAGTATTGAAGGTCAATACTAAAATGAGTATCAAAACTAGAATCTCATTCCCAAAAGTTTTGAAACCGTTTTTAAATCATTTTAGATCTAAGGACAAGTATAGAACCTTGTTGTACCCTTCAAAAGTACTAGAGAGTTGTTTATGTTAAAAATCACAGCTGAATGTCCAAACATATGTTGTTTTTTATATGAAATATATGCATTTCTTAGTAAAATAAAGTTAACAACACTAACTCCTTAGTTGATTTAGCTACAGTTGCATTAGCCACTTGATTTTCTATGTTGTTTATATGGCAGAATGCCAGAGGAGAAATAGTGGAGTGAAGGTTTTGATGATGCAGAGAAAACCTAGGCGTCCATCGTTTCCCATGTACACATTTGGGTCCACGTCTAAAACAGGCAAGAAAGAGCTGAAAGAGCAGCTCTGCTAGAAAGTGCTGTTTCAGAGGAGGCTTTCCTTACATAAGCAAAGTGCTCTGTAATTAGGATGGGTGGATCCACACTGAGGGGAGAGTCACACAGAGACAGCCAGGAGGGACACAAAGCACAGGCAAACAAAGAGACGAGTCAAGCATGAGACAACAACTGGAAAGCATCTTATTCTGTCTAATCTGGAAACATGCCTTAAAAGGTTTAGAGATGTTCATAGCACGGCGGTCACCAACTACAGAGGACAAGCAGCACAGTTTCCCCAGAGATTTTTCTTCTGGCAGATACAGAAAGACTAGTGTCAACTAGTGGTATCATGTTACAGGTCTATTACTAGTTCTACATATATTTCCTTTGCCGTGTCAGATTCAGTTTATTTTCCCTGTGCTGTAAAACCACATTGGAATAATGTGCAAAAGTACATAAAATAAAACAAGCTAAAAAGTTTTCAATAAACAGTTTCAATAACAAGTACAAGTTATGTGTTCATTACAGCTTGCGGAAAGAAGAGTTAGCATATCAAGATGTCCTGCACCTCAGCAGACCAGGACATCTTATATCTTCTTCAGGGAAGAAGATATAAGCCACCCTTTTCCAGGGTGGCCAGAAGAGTCATCGATTTAAGAGTCTAGATTCATAAAGAACCTCAGAACAGGCAGCTCACAGTCCTCTTTGCAGAGTGGAGCTCTCATTTCTTTGGCTGTGATGTTGCCAAACCACACAGTCACAGAACCAACAAGCCAATTTTCAATAGTGCAGTTATAAAAGTTAAACTAACTCTTAAGAGTTTGTGGTGAATTCTTCAAGTTTCTGCAAAAAGAAGAGACGCTGACGAGCACTGGCACATTACAGACTGGGGTGGGAACCTAAGGGTACCTCACGATACGATACGATACGATACGCGATACAAAGCTCACGATAACGATTATGTCACAATATGACGATTATTGATATATTGGTCAGCAATATACCATATGCCAATATATGGCATACATAAAATAGAAAAATGTTAAGTGAAAAAATACACTTTATTTCATGATAAATGGAATGTAGATGTGTAATGTAGCCATATATTAAGTATCATTAGTAATTATTTTTATTTATTTTCAAAATCGTTGCTTGGCAAATGCATATCGATAATCGCGGGAGAAAGTATTGCGAAATATCAAAAAAATCGATATATCGTCACACTCCTATTACAGACTCACGGTAACAAAGTGACAATCCATCACGCTTGAAACTAAACAATTATATGTACAGTATTGTTACATTTTATAAGTATTACTATTAAGAGCAAAACAAAATGCGGGTAATTGAGTTGGTGTATCAAACTACTCCCTTGCCATCAACAACTTGCATATTTCATAGCTCTAAGCCTCTGCATGTCAGTGTCTCGACCCTAGTCTTATGATGTCACCGTTTACCCCAAGTCTTCCCTCTCATCTGCTGAGTCAACGGTACCAGGGCGACTGAATAAACCACATCCTCGAGGCTTTCATCTCTTGCTCCCCTTCACGTGTCTCTGGCCCTGGCTTTTAGGAGCTCACAAACCCAGAGGCGACCTTTGCCTGGCTAAAGTGCACCCATACCATATCCTGTAGGTGCGTGTGGAGATGTGCCCTTTTGACAAGACTTTTATGTGAACTTAAAAGGCCCCTGTCCCTGTTTGAAACAAGACCTGGTTGCAGTTTGCAAATACCAAATAATATAACTGATCTACTTTGACATCAAGCATCAGAAAGCATTACTACGGTCACACTCGTAAAACTATTAGTATGAATCCATGTGTGCAAACCCTCTCGTGAGCACATCTACATTAATTAAATGTAATCCTCCAACAATGTAGGTTTTTAGAGACAGCATATACAGCTTTAGTCATTTTATAATAACCTACAACGTAGCACAGCTTTGAGATGAAAATATTGAGGCAGAATGTATTTGATTCGGTATGGGTGGCCTAAATCTGTTAGTCATAAATACAGACCAATGCTTTGAAACGTAACCATACAAAACAGAGCACAACACATTCCCATTCCCAAACGTTCAGTCAAACCTTATGTGGCCTCATCAATATGACAAAGGATATCCAAAAGGTCACTGTTCTTCTTCTATTAGTCAAACTGTTTATGAGTAAGAAACACATAGTAAACTTTGTTTACTGAGAAGATATTTAAAATGTCCGCAGACACACATCTGTCAATATTACTGCCCACTGGTCCTCATTACATGCCACGGAGAGGCCTTTGCCATGTTATGTAACAGAGGAGATAAAACACATTCCTGTAGTATGCTAAAAATTAGGCGAAATATGCAGGGAGATCTATAGCAAAACACTACTCACTGAGCCAAGCCCAATGATCTGTGTGTTTGGACAAGCTGTAGCCTTAGGAACTGAAGACAGCAGAGTTAAAAAGAAAATGGACTGTTTTTAAAGAAAAAAAAAGATATTAAAAATAACTGTCCAGTTAAGGAACAGACCCATATGCCCCCTCCATCCCTCTTAATTGTTTTAATCCTGTTTTTTGTGTGCAGAATTCTATATTTAACCATGATGTGTGTTTGTGCAGAATGGATTTACTGAATAATAGACATTTTTAACAGTAGTTGTGAGGGTTGTTATGTGCACATGGCAGCCACCAGCCCTGGACATAATCAAACACTTTTGTGAACACAACAACTTCCCATTTCCCAAAGACATTTCCTGTTCAAGGAGGTAATTCGCAAGCTACGGGTTCAGTCTCCACAGCAATGAGAAAGAACATTTGACAAAGCAAGGAAACAGCAAAGTGCTCAAATGACCGCAAACCGCTGAAAAAAAACCTTGAAATGCAATTTAGATTTCCGGTCCACAATACTCATATAAATATAAACTTACGGTTTTTTTTTAGTGCCAACATAATGGAAATAAAGAAATTCTCAATTTGGATAACAAGTTTCTCTAGGCAAAGGAAGTTGTGATTGATATCAAAGCAACTGCTCAAACAGATTTCCACTTGCTGAAGCCTTTGTCTCATCTTGTTTATCCAAGTGAATAACAGACACACAGACAGTTACTGGCCTCAGTCCTTAATGACTTCTGTTTTGTGGTCTTTCTCAAACCATATCCAGCCCTAATTCACAACAGTCAGAAAAGGCAAGACATAAAATGTGTCAGGGAGGTCATGAATCAAACTAACTTAAAAGGTCTGTATAAAGCATATTTTGGCTGTAGATTCTACTAGAACCAAATTAAGGGGGTAAAAAAAATCTGAATTATATGGAATAAAAGCAAATGGCTTTTTTGAAGTCATTATTTCCACATTACATTACTTGTGTTGATCCTACATTTGACTTCAAATTATACAAAGTGTGCACATCAGAAACAAAATGATAAAAACTGGGTACACTCACCACTCTTGGCTTAGTCTTCTGCGGGACAGGGATGGATAGGAGGTCATCTGATCTCTCTTGTTGTTCGGTCTCTCCACTGATGGGAGCCTCAAATACAGCTGCAGACTCCACTTCATCTTTAGCCCCAGGAACAAGCCGAGGCTCAGTGTCTCCTTCCGACCGACTCCGCTCCAAAACATACGTCTTTGTAACATCTTCCAGTGCAAGGACATTGATTCCTAAAGTCTTACTCTGCACAGGGGCCTGTGCAGAAGGTTGCAAAGGGAGGCAGCCGGCTTCCTTTGCAGCATACAAGGGAGGAGGAGAGATGGGGATGAAATTGGTTGGCTCACTGGCATGGCGTACATGCTTCAGCTTGATTTTATTCTTTGATTGAGGTACAGTCAGAGGAAGAGGAGCTGTAATGTCAGTCTCATCAGTGTCGTCGTCATCATGCTCGCCCAGTTCTAGTGGCTCAAACGGGTCCTCTAAGGGGCTAAAGTGAGCCAGTCTATTTGGTCGTTTTCTTCCCGGTCTACGTATTATCCGAGGGGTCAAGGCTTCAACAAATTTGCGGTCAAAATGAAAATTAATTTCATCTTCCTCCTCCTCTTCTTCTGCTTTACCTTGATCAATGGCATCATAATCTTCATCGTTTTCAGAATAATGGCCATCATCTGATTTCGAACGGGGCTTCATGGTGCTGTCACTCTGATTATTATGTAGCTGTAGCACCGTTGTTGACTTGCCCTCTGGCTTCCACATGTTGTGCCTTTGCTCAGACAGTATTGGCTCACTGATAGAGGGTGGGATCTGACCAGTTTGATCCAGTGCAGTGATTGGCTCACTATTTCCAGACTGTGGGTCAATGAGAGCTTCACTTCTACGACTAGGGTCACTAAATGATTTCTTCTTAGGAGCTTTGCCATTGCCATGGTCATCCATCATGAGTCTGTCCATTGCACCTGGTTCTGCCATAATACTTCTTATGACTTCACTGTAGTCTTGAATTTCATCATCACAAAGGCCTCCATCACTGTAAAGTGACAGATCACTAGACACACTTCCCGTGTACTCTGTCAAAGCAGTCATAGTGGCTGGGTCTGAGGATCCTCCTTTGATAGACAGAGATCCTAAAAAATTGCTGTCAACAGATGAAAAGTTGTTACGCGCGTCCTCCGTTTCAGAGCTGCATCTTTGAGGCATTGGGTCACTGAGAGAGCGATAGACAGTGGATTCCCCAGCAGCAGCTGTTGTTGTGGTCTCTGCATTAGAAATGTGGCCAGTGTCTGAGCTTGTGTTAGCGTTTCCAGAGGGGGAGAACTTGCGGCGTCGTCGGGTAGTATTGGGGGTTGTAGTCCCTTCAGGCCCCTCTGCTACAGCTGCAGCCATTAGCCCGGGTAACATAGGTTTATTGCAGGTGACCTCTTCATTGGCAGTGCTGACATTCTTCCTAGCTGCAAAGTCACTTCCAGGCATACACTCAGAAAAGGTCCTACCGTTGTCACTCAGTTGATTTGTAGAACTTGTGTGCTTCTCTGTGACCTCTTTTGCTTCCTGGAGCACGCCCTCCGCCACCTGGAAGGTTGATTGTTTCCTTAAAGGGAGAGGTTTTTCTAGGAGGTCCTTGGCACCAACGGACCCCAAATAAACCCCCCCTAACCCCAGAAATGTCCCCTCAGTGGACTCACAAGGGCCATAGTCAAGTTCAGTCACAATTCCTTCATCTGTTAAACTCGACTCATGTCCCGAAAGTTCATCCACAGAGTGCTCACAGGACATGCTTTCCTCAGAGTCCCCCTTCACTAATACTTTGTCTGTCTCTCTGCTCTGCACTGTTCCCCTGTTCTCCGTGCCCTGTCTGTTTAACTTCCCTAACTGCATACTTGCTCCATCCCTCTCGCCCCTCTCACTCTCTTGGTTCTCCTCCTCCCTCTCATGTTTATCTTTGTGCTTTACATTCTTACACTCATGCTCTTCTTCACTCGTTGCCTTGCTCTCTACTCTCAAGCTTAAGTTCTGCTCTCTTTCGTTTGCCAATATCACCGGGAAACTGTTGGTTTTCAATACAATATTATCGGTTTTCTTAGCGTCTATATCTTCAGCATCGTCTTCCCTCGTGCTCATCTGACATATGTCTTGAATAACCTGTCTGGCCTCTTGCAAGTACTTATCATGTAACGGAGTTGGCATTACATCATCATCATAACTGTAATGCCTTCCCTTCCTAAAATCACCACTGTCACTTTCCACCTCTCTGTCTGGCACCATCACTCTGCCCCCACTCATCTCTCCTTCAAGATCAAGGCGTTGCTCAGAAGAACTCCTCTTAGCTGAGCTGTTTGTCATGTACCTTCGTACCGTAGTGGTGGGTTTTTCAGAAGAACTAAAAGATTTAGTTCGCCGCAGGGTTGCAGTTAAGTCTTTCAAAGATGGGCGACAACCAGAGGTAAGAGGTACTCCACTCTGATTACCTGAACCCATCTTGTATCCACTATATTTTTCACTTTTTTTACGCATTTTAAGTTCAGATAAGTCAGATTTAAGAAAATTTAAAAGTGACAGTGTTTCTGAGGCTATATCCGGGTTAGACATGGATATTTTCTCTTTTGTTCCCTCCTCAAAAACTGCTCTCCTTAACTTAACATTTGGATTCAATACCATTCCTGTGTGTACACCTCTTTCTCTGGCATGTAAACTAGAGGAAGAGGCGGAGACTGTAGGCACAACTTTTGAGTGCACATGCCGAGGAGTCCGAGAAAGGTTATCCCCATGGCCAAAGCTTTGAGAACGATACATAAAATTACCTTGGAAGGGTCTACTGAGCATGGATGTGGATGGATTAACCTTCCTATTACATCCTCCATAGCTACCAATCTGATCGTCCTGTTTTAGTGTTTCAGTGCTGGAGTACCGGCTGCTGCTGCGTGACCCACCGGGACTGCAAAAGAATGGAGAGATGTTGACCTTTGATACCCGTGATACACAGGGGCGTGTGGTAGCTGCGGGGGGCGAGGCAATACGCTCCCATTGCTGCACTCTGAACCTATTACTGTAACTGCCCGCCTCTCTCACAGACTGACTACGGCTAAGTGCTGTCCCAAACGGTCTACTAACTGATGTCTGCCTCTCTGTTTGCTCCATGGTCAAATCTGTATCACTGTCGCTATCTTCAGATTCCCCATCCTCATAATTGGCACGACCTGAAAGAAGAGCAACTTCCTTTTTCTTTCTCAGTGAACGACGACGGACAGCATCTCGACTGGGAGTGCTTAGGCAGCCAGGGCGATCTTCCTCACTGCCTGACGACCTGCCAATTCCTTTAGTGCCCAAAAGTCCATTTTTACTACATGATATATACCTGCCTCCACAATCTAAGCTTTCTCCTTCGTCTCTATTACCAATGGATATAGCGCTTATTCCTCTGCTGCTCTGCTGTTCCTCTTCACCTGAACTGAATTTCCAGCGGGAAATGATGAGAGAGCCACCTCTTTCTGCTGCCCTCGGCCGACCGTCGGAGGAGGCAGTGGCTTTATCAGGAGGTGGAGTGAAGGAGGAGGGGGCAGGTTCTTTGGAGAAGCTATGTGAGGAATGTAAACTATCCCTGGGCAGCCCGACCCCCTGTCTTCCCCTCTCCTCCCTCACCTTAGTCTGGAGGAAAGAGGTGGAGGACGAGGAGGTGTCTAGGCTCACTGTAGAGTCCCGCGAAGCAGCACTGGGCTGAAGGTCACAGTGGGGGTCAGGTGTCACCCTTGTCGTCCCGGGTGCAGTCTGGGATTCAGAGTTGAGATTTCTCGATGAACTCAGAAGTGGGTTAATCCTATGGGGGTGACTAAGACTAATTTGAAAGGTATTTCTGGGGCCACTATTCTCTTTGTTTGTCTCGTGTTTTAAAGACAAGTCCATATCCCCACAAACAATAGCAGGACTGCTTTCTCTGCTGTGTGCACCCACAATACATGTCTCATGAGAGGACAAGGAGCCAGTCTCAGAGACAGAGCCACACGATGAAAGTTTATCACTTTTATCTGAGAAAAATAAACTCTCAGAAGAGCTTTTGCTGGCTGTTTTTAAATTTTCACATGAGCTAGAAATATGCTGGCCTTTGTTTTTATTCTCATCAAAAATCTGTCTAATTTTGGTAACACTTGGCCACTTGTCTGAGTGCAGATCACCAGGATGTCGGAGTAAAAAAGTTCTGTGAGACTTACTAGGTCGACTACAAACTTCTTCATCATCTGTTAAAGTCTTTCTCGGTTCAGAATGACAAATCTGTGCGTAGTCTCTCTTACCAGTGTGGCTGTCGATTGAAACCCGTATTAAAATCTTCTTTTCAGACCTCCTCTCCGAGTCAGAACCAGACACAGAATCTGTCCCAGAGAAAACTTTGTGCACTTTATTGTCAGTGGGGTCGTCCAGGACTTTGGCTGTATTACTATCACTGTCCAGTACATATCCACACGCGTTTTCCACGAGAAAAGAATGGCGAGAAGGGGGTACGCTTTTCCTTGTGTTTCTGATCCGGGTAAGAGTGCTCCTGCCCCGCTTGCCTGCTGCTCTGTCCCTCGGTGAGGCTATTATCCCTGGTGGTGAACTACTACTGCTGCTGCTGCTACTGCTGCTGAACTTCTCCGAGAGCTGGCGAATGGATGGAGAAATAGAGGCGATGGGAGTGGAGGATTCTCTCTTTGACTCTGTGGTTGGGAGGCTGGCGCTTGTGGCACGGATTTTGGAAACTTTTCTTGACTGACTGGAGGGCTGTGGGGCTGTGTGCTTGAGAGGAACAGTGGCGACTTCAGCTGCCTCCTCTGTATGCTGTGGCTCCTCTCTGTTGTTGTTGTTGGCACTCCAAGAGCCCAGCTTTTTAAAAGAAACACTGCGGTACACCGTCTTCTGCTCCTTTTCAGCCATTGTTGTTCTAGTTTACAATTCTCGCATTATCCACGCGACATTTCGCACGTGCACTTTTTTGAACTTAGCTTAACTTCGGCTACATGATACCGGTATGAAACACCAACTATCCTCTTTTTCCTTCGAGAACGAGAAAAGCCACAATATCCATGTAAAAAGTCAGAGAATTATTGTGGTGACTGTAAAAAAAAAAAAAAAAAAAAAACATTTCTCTTGAATACAACTTACATGTGTCGAATCCACGTCGGCGTTTGGAAGTATTCGGTTTTAAACACAACTTTAGTTTTGAGTTGAACCTGTTCCCATCACGTTTCCTTGTTTATTCCCGGTGCAAAGTGTGCGAGCAGCTGTCAGCAGCCTGCACGGCCTGCACGGAGCATCTCTGCCTGATGAGTCCTGCACAAGAGCCCGCTTTTTGGCATGATTGAGTTTCCGTGACTTGTGTTGTTTTTTGCATTAATGCCTGAGATAGGGCAGCGGGTGGGCGGGACTAGGGGTATGGGGCTGTCATAGTCCCCTCGGGAATTGAGAGGAAAAGCTTTTTCTTTGCTGATGCCAGAAGCCAGATACTTTGTACAAACTGTGTAATTATAGCCCTTTCCCTCATGAAGAGATAGCAGCTTACAGAATGCTGCAGGCTGCATATCTCACATGTGAAGTAGTCCCTCACAGGCTGCTGTTGGGATAACAAGGCTTGTACACAAACGTGATCAGGATCATTCTAAACATTCACTTCGGCGTGTTGTTGAATCATTCTGTTGTGGGAATAACGTTACATTGAACTCAGAATCCATAGGGGTCAAACAAGGAAAACTATTTTCCCTCTTATAATGTGTGATCCTCCATGTGGTCAACAGGCCTTTTGTTCCAAAGGGAAACTCTCCAGCAGAAAGTGACTGCAGTGCCCCCTGCCGACAGCATGTCTCTATGCAGGTGTGTTCCCAAGACCAGTGGCGTCAGTTCTAAGCAGTTTGATAACATTTCATTCAAACAAATTAATAAAACACAAATGAATGTAATGTGTTTATTTATTTGAGGATCAAAAAGTACTTTTACTGGAAAACCAAATATTTGTGGTAATACTGTTAGATGTTTAATGTGTTCAGGCAAGCTAGATTTCACGAGCATTTGCAACAGTTAAGGATAAGTGCACACATGTTCTGCATCATTAAATTACAACATTTGTAGTTGAACAATCCGTGTCAATATATACATATATAACAATAGAATAACTACAGGCTGGCTTTATGTAGTTTAGACCCCTATCTTTTTATGTCGGGTTAAATAGAAGCATTTGAGTGAAAGAAGTTAAATCCATTTGTACAGAACGTCAAATAACACAACTTGTCTTCATTTTACAAAATGCAAGGTACCCCTTCAATATGTAAATAAGTCTTTTGTAATGCCTTCAACCAAATGTAATCCATGCACATTACATTACAGAAGTAGTGAATAAAAAAAAAAATTATTCTACAGCCCGACTGTGGGAGCAGATCCCTCTCAAAGTGGGCCTCCCGGAGGATTCTTCCCCACTGGGTTTTTGTCTCGTTCCTTGCAGACGCAGGCGGGTCTCAGGAGAGTGAACATTTATGGACATTGGTCATCCCGCTCCCTATGGACCAATTCCTCCTATGTATTTGTTATTATGGCATTTCTGTGTGATTTAGAGCTATACAAAAATAAATTTAATACAAACATAAGGCAACGCCCTAATAACAAAAATCAGATGTGTTAAAAAAGTAATACTTAACTTGGGCAACTTATATACATGTATATAAACTTATACAAAGTACTAGTAGTACTATGAAAATAATCAGAATTCACAGTGTACAACACGGTTCTAACAAATCAACTGTACATTCACATTAAGTCCTTTGTCACCATTCGCTGAAGTCATACCGTGGTGCCCTTTTCTCTCAGCGTTGTGACTTTGAGCATAAATCGTTTCGTACTCTTTCTGTACCGCGGCTGTGTGAAATAAAACAGAATAGGATCCAGGAAACTGTTCATGCTGGCGAACGGCCGGGTGCTTTTGTAAATGATAGCGAACAAGTTTTTGGTTTGACAGGGCACATCGGGGAAAGTACGCACCAACAAGTACATGGTCTTGGTCAGGTGAAACGGCAAGAAACTAATGCAGAAAACCGTGGCCACGACAACGATCATCCTGACCGCCTTGTCCTTTTTCTCGCGGCTGGCCATTGCAACGCCTTGATAGGTCACAGGTCGGCAGAGAAAATGGGCCATGCGACAGTAGCACAGCATAATGCCCGAGAACGGCAGCATGAAGCCCAGGAAGGTCAGCGCCATGCCGTACGGGTAGTAGTTCAGAGAGTGCTTCGGGGTACTTAAGTCATAGCACACGGTCCGGTTTCTCTGGATCCCGGTGGCGGCAAAGTGGAAAGTGGGGGCGCACAGCAAGATGACCACCAGCCACACCCCTCCGCACACACGCCACGCCAGCTTCCGCCCACCGCGCTTGTGCCACAGGGCCATAGGGTGGCATATGCCCACATAGCGCTGGACACTTATGCAGGTCAGGAACAAGATGCTGCCGTGGAGGTTACTGAGACAGAGGAAAAAACAAGGTAATTATTGAGAAGAGGGAGTGAAACTTTTGGAAGACGAGGACTGCTTAGACCCGCCCATGCTTAGCAACCTGATTGGTAAAAATTAATTATGCCGAGGGAAAGGACTGTTTTAAATACATTATTGCTGAAAAATACTGCACATGATAGTACAGTGCTCCATACACTATTTCAAAAATGAAATTTAAAATACATCTTTAAGTCAGTAGTAATCATTGAAAAATACTGTAAGAATCCACTAGAAATAAACACAAAGAATGTCTAAACAAAGCAAAGACCCAGATATTTTGTATCCATCTTGACTTATCATTCAACACATACATAGAGGCAATATTGTTGTTATGTAATAGTGTTTATGCGAGAAGATAAATGTTTGAAATGTAATGTGTTATCATTGGTTCTATAGTTTATTTCTTGCTGCTTAAAGCTGGGGTACCAAACTTCAAACCACATTATTAAAGTGTGTTATAAAATTCATCTAAAAAAGGAAAGCCTCTCTTTCACTTATTTTTCACTAGTTTTCACTAGTTTTCACAAGCACGGTCACAGTTTTAGATCCGCTTCTTCAGAGGCAAAAAAACATCCTCACTCAGACAAAATTCAGCTCTCGGCAAAAAGCGTCAAAGAGTGACTCACAAGGCTGTGTGCTAAAGATAACAAGTAATACGATAAAAACATAATGTTGTGGTATGAATTGTTCAGTGTTTTACCGTTACTAATACTCTCGGCGCAAACAAAAAATAATGTTGGTTAACCCTACACAGTACCTTTGAGCCCTTTAATAATTGTGATTATGCGATTTTTGTTTGAGTGGCATAAAGCAGCTTCAAATATGCTCATTCACACTTCCTTATTATTTTTCTTTTTTTGTCATGACAGGTCGGGGCAAATAATATCTCCCTTTTTAGTCACCTAATAATAAATGCCATCTTTAAAAGACACAACTTTTAAAATTAATTATAAAAAATAGACTTGAAAAATCTTGATTATCAATATTAATGCATCTGTTTTAAAATGGGCTTCTGGACTCTGACACTTCACATGGCATTATTCATTCACGCTATGCAAGAGGTCTGTTCAATTTTTGATCTGTAATTGTTTTGTTGTTGACTAATGACCAAAGAAACTAGAGGAATAAACAGTACTAACCAGGGCCTGCCTCGCCGAGCTTCTAAGACCTGGTTTTCAGATCTCAGAAGCAGGTAAGATCAAAACAATGGATGGATTCATTGCTACAGCCACATACTATATACTGTATGTCTTTTTCTTAGGTTTTATTAGAGCCACAATTGTTCAGATGAGAAGAAACAAACAGAGGCATACACTTCTGGATTGATCATATGTACGTTCCCATCTCTTACCTGTAGAACTGAAAGCGGACCATCTTACAGGTAAACTCCCCAAAGGGCCAGTAGTCGTGACTGCCATAGTTATAGATGAGCAGTGGAAGAGACATGACGTACAGCAGGTCGGCTATGGCCAAGTTCAGGGTGTAAATATTGTTCCGTGACAGGTTGGGCCTCTTTCTCCATATCTTCTGAATCACCGCAGCGTTCAGAGGAAGTCCAAGGACAAAGACCAAGCTGTAGACGGCCGGCAGTAGAATCTGTTTGAAGTCCTCCTTGTAAGTGCAGCGGGGCAGTGCATACCGATCGAAGTGGCTGCTGTTGTGTGGATCAGCTATGTCTGTAACACTGAGCAGGTCTGTCGTGTTGGACTCTGTCTGGTCCAAACTAAAGACTTCTGGGATGAGAGACGGTGTTGTGAATATAGTGGAGAGAGGCATCTTCACAGCCTGCAAAAGAGAAAGAATATTTGTACAGATGTATACATACAGTATAACTATATATTGCTTGCACTGGAATACATAGTAGTTTATACTTGCTTCATATTATGCCAAAAGTAGAGATTTTATGCTTATTTATTATGCTAAAGTCAGAGTTTAGCATAATATGATAAAGATAGATTTTATACTTAGAGTTAGAGATTTGTATTTTATTTAGTTTATAGTTAATGTTCATTTATTTTGTGCTGTGTGCTCCTCATTCCTACTGTTCTGTAGCTTGTGATGCAACACTGACAATTCACCACAGTGGGAAAATCTTAATATTTGAGGCTCAGGTACCCAACTTTATGTTAATAATTGTCCCAGCAAAGAAGTCTTTTACAACAAACAACGAGGACTAACGAACGCTGCCGATCTGACCGTATATGTCATGCATTGGTGCAATATCTTGAATGATGTCAGAATGTGCAATATATGAACCACATGTGTTACTGTCACTTCACTGAGTCACTTTTCCCAAACCCTCATGCTGCTAACACGTACAGATGTATACACATAACTACAATATTACTTGCACTAGAATATACAACATTTTTACTTGCTTCTTATTATGCCATGATTTTATACTTTCTTCTATACTTTGTTCACTTATCTTGTGCTGTTCAATCCCACTCTTCTATAACTGGTGACGTAAAACTGAAATTTCCCCACTGTGGGACGAATAAAGGATCTCTTAATCTTTTAAAAGTAAAATACTGTTAAAAATACTGTGAACACATCAGACCATAAAAAAACCTTGTTATGTTGACGCTTTGAGCTGAAAGCTGATTGGCTGAGTGAATGTATTTTTTTCCCCTTTTCTATCTGAAAATGTAGATCTAAAGATGTGACAGATCAAAGCTAGTTTGATAGATAATACGTCAGTTACTTATTTGTGGTTTGAAAGTGAAGTACACCAGTTGTGACTTTGTAGTATGTATTACATATTAAGATAATGATCAGAGAAACTTATGCCCTGGTTTCTTCTTTTCTAGCTTGTATTCAAAATATGGTTAGAAAATACTTGCTTGTGGTATTTGATCATACAATGTCTGTTTGAGAGGACATATTAAATATATGAAAATAAATAATTCAGTTTCATCTCCCCCAAACTTGATAATCCTGTGTGGATAAAAAACATTTCACCAGCAGAGGGCGTGATCAGCCAAACAACTGAACGTCATCTATGAATGAACGTGGCCACTGAAAATTGTAGTTCACCAATAAAAATGCAATGCAGTTGACACAATAATCCACTCGTTACAGTGAGTTACTTCAAGTCACTGCTCAAAACCCAGTTTATTTTAGCCTTTTTTCAGCTGTGCCTTTATAAACCCAAAAAGCACATCTTTATTATTAAATATGAAACGTATTATGGTGATCTCCAGTGATGTTCAGATGAGGCCCGGGGAAGCATCAATACTTTCAGCAGACTGTGCCGTCTATGGCTGGCACAGTGCCTTTCAAAAGTATTAATACACCTTGAACTTGTGCCCATTTTGTCAAGATTGTATTCTAAATTGTGATTTTACATCTTGTCTAGGGACCACAGATGGAAACTACAGCTGTTTATACTAACACATGTTGATTAATGTGTTCTGTCCCTATTCAAATAAACAAACAAAAGGATTTAATGCAAAATGATTGATGATTCTGTTATTTTTCCAAAATGTTACTTTGTGGACCCCCTTTAGCTTCTATAACAGCAGCAAATCTTTTGGGGTACAAGATTTTCACATCTAGAGTCAGCAGTTTCCAGGTCTTTCCACAGATGTTCTGTTGGATTTAGGTAGGTCTGGAGTCTGGACCTTTACTGGGATATTCTAACACCTGAATATGTTTTGGTTTAAACCACTGTAGCTTGTGCTTAGGATCATTGTGCTGCTGCTGGAAGGTGAATCTTCTCAGTCTTTTCACCAGCTGATTCTAGCAGGTTTTCCTCCAAAACGTCCCTATATTTGGCTCCATCCATCTTCCCAGCTTTTCTTTCAATCTTTCCAGCCCCTACTGAAGAAAATCCCCATAACATGATGCTCCCCCACCATATTTGACACTGGGGACGGTGCACTCTGGATGATGAGAATATATAATTTTTGGTTGGAGCCAAAAAGTTAAATTATTCTCACAACAGCTTTAACCATTGTACAGTTTAGTTATTACGTTTCATGAAGAGACTGCAGTATTGTGTCCCTTGACTCTTGAGCGGTGGGCACTAGGCACCTGGCTGTGAAGACCAGTGGAGACTGTCTGGACTCCCACTCGCCTTCAGGACCACACCACATGCTCCTTCACATTCATCAGTGTTTATTACCTTCTCCGCAGCCAACACATCATATGCGTTTCCTCCACGGCACACTTACTCCCATTGCACCATAAGACGCAGTGACTCAGGATTTCACAACCCGGGCAGATTCTAAAGAAAATAACTCGGCCCGAGGTGCAGCGAGTTTGGAGCCCACATTGTAAAAAACTTAGAGTATATATCTTTACAACATGACTTCACACTAACACTGTATAAACCACAAATGAGAGTGGCAGGAAAGTTAAAAGCAGCGCATGAGCAAGAGTAGTAAACATGATGACCTCAGAAACACATGTTTGTGTGTGAGGTTAAGGACGACGTGATACAGACTGAGGAATAATCGTCAAGAATCCAGTATTTCAACAATCATCAACTAGCAGTAGCAGTAGCAGTAACAGTAGCAGCAGCAGTAACAGTAGTAGCAGTAGCAGTAGCAGTAACAGTAGTTCTAGCAGTATAGTATTAGCAACAGCAGTAGTTCTAGCTCTTGTAGTTTAGTAGATTGAGTTGCAAAGTGGTGGAAAATGTTTATGGGAAGTTAAGATGGGTAATTTTGTAAATATTATAAATTACAATGTGATCCACCATAAGTAATAAGAAAACATCATGCAAAATGTTTTAAGATATTTCAACAGATTTAACTGTACGTAGAACAGAACAGGTTTTAACAAATTAATTAAAGAATCACTTTTTTTATGGAGTAGGGAGGGGTCTCAGTAGCAGTGTGCTTGAATGGAATCTTTATTTTATCTTAATAAGATGCTATACTTTCCTCAACTATATTTAAGTCCCCTGTGAAGAGGCTTCAAATTTGAACATTTCCAGTTTATTTCCATTTTCTTCCTGTTAATTGTGCATCTTGGAATAAAACCATCCCCATTTTATAGAGAATCAAACCTCTATAATATTATAATATCCATCTTGGACAATTAACAGAATTTTTCAACCCTAGTTGTAGTGGTGGTAGTATAGTAGTTGGAGTTGTCTACAGTACTAGTAATTTTCCCTGTTAAAGAAACAAAACCATAAAAAAAAAGAACTTCAAGCAGTATTTCTGCACATAAAAAGGACCTTAACTTTTGTTTGGAAATAAACTACAAGACATTTATTAACATTTATCGGTGTTGGTCTTGCCACTCCAAGGACCAATGGCTTCCAAGTGTTTTGCATTTGTTGTGCTGGAACGGTTCAATTTTCTGGTCTTATTGTTGAGGAATCGACAACTTTGTAAAGTCTTTTAAGACGACTCCATCCAGGCTCTAACCGCATTACAATCACATTTTGGCACTTATGTCTTTCCAAAAATATGACACATTTGAATCCATTTTAAATGTACCACCAACATACTTTCACAAGGGATGCAGCTGTAACGACATCTGGTTCTCCAAGTTTTCCAAGCAGTTCTTTAATCGTTAATAAAAGAAAACAATTGCTTTAAAAAATTGCAGAGGTCCTCAAATGTCTCCAAGTCACATTCGCCTTTTTCACATCATTGGGATTGCATAATAGGATATTTACCAATAAGAATGACCCATGTGTTAAAAGGGAGGGAGGATTCAAAGGAATAGTATGACTATGTATTTAAAATCTTACATTATTGATCCAAATAAAATAACCATTAACTTTACCGTATAAAATTAATAATCTAACAATAATAATGATCATATTAAAAAAGATGTGACAAATGAAGAGGATTCAAGCTACAAAGCAATACCAGCGGAGTCGAAAGGGGAAATGAGATGCAACACTGCTCTGAAACATGTTATAATACAATAATAATAAAACGTTAAATAACAGGAGCCATTGGTGCATAGGGATGACCACTGGACATAAATGTAAATAAATGTCCCTTCACTGACCTGCAATGGCCAGGAACGACCCAAATACAACAGTGGGGGAAAAAATCTAGGGGAGGCGAGATTTTGCAAAGTGTTTTTCTCGATAATTTCTGGATTGCCATTTCTCCAAAATTACCAAAAGTCCTTCCAGTGAATCCAAATGTAAGTGTAACGTTTCTTCATATAACTACCAGGTGGGCCTCGGCAGTAAACAGTATTTACGGACCACATCACTCTGTTGTGGCGTTTTAGGAGGGAGAGTAACACTGCAGTATAAACCCAAACCACGCTTTTATTAAGAAGTGAGAATATTGTTTGATTCTCTGGTACAATTGTTCAAAATCGGAACTGCTAAATCCCTTAATTTCTTATTCTTGCGTCTTCCCTGCGAGTGTTTGCGTCAGGGGAGTGAAAGCCTTTTGGATTTGGCGTTGTGACTCAGTGGTGCATTGTGCCACAGATGCAGTCACTTCTCCAAAACCTTTCCATTTCTTTTGAGAGATGACTCTTTTAACAGGTTGTCAGAAATGGGGATGGTTTTATTTAGATGCGTCAATAGGAGCGTACAGTCATGATGCCTTTGGGGCAGCGAGGAGAACCGGGGGCAGATGATTTTGAGACCGTTCACACTGGAACTCTGCTTTTTGACTGTCACCGGGACTATTGTGCAGAGACTAGAGCTCATGTAATCTCAAATAATGACTGGGAACTACTCATTTACCAAACAACAGTATGAACAGTGATACAGGTAAATAATATTCTATTTCAGTGGTTCTCAAATTGGATCCACCATCAACATACAGTAAAACTCCAAAAACCAGGACCCAAAG